TCTGCCTCAGAGGACAACCCCTCCCAAAAGAAAACACAACCACAAGCAAAACAAAGTGATGCAATACTTTTTGCAGGGAACATCATCTAGGGGGATGAGTTGCAGACGTAGTGTTTCAATAGTGGAGAGATACTCAGACTCTCCAGTAAAGTAAAAGTACCAATAACATTTAGTCAATATGCAGCAATCTCTAAAAAGCTTTCTACCTTTGGAGTTGCTGGAGATACAGCCAATTTACTTTGTGTATGGAGTTTAATCCAATCGTTTGCAGCCTATAGAAGTCAGGCCTCCTGCAAAGGGTCATAAGATAAGTCTGGGGGTCATGAGACTGTTTGTGAATGAAAGCTGTGGCCTCCTCAGTGGAGCTGTAAACAGGTAATCAGCATCTGTGATAAGGAGCAAAAACAAGTGTTTTTGTCCTGTCATGTTTTTTTTCGTGGGGGCTGGAAACCCCTGACAACCATTTTAATTGAGCTACATAAAGTACCAGTGCTAAAACTGTAATATATATGCAATGCAGTACAGTAAAAAAGTTTCCCCATTGTTGTAGTGATGTTTATGTATCGAAGGACAGAATGGAAATACTCAGGTCACATAGTTAATGGACCACTTACACAAGAAATATGTCAAATACAATAGAAGAAAATGTGGCAAAAACTACCATACTGTGCATGAGATTGAAACAAAATGTAAATTTGAATACTCTTGACAATACATATCTAATCTATTCAGCGTACAATAAAATGTAATAAATATTCTCCTTAAAATTATTAAACTACCTACCTTGAATTCTTCTTTATCATTCATTCTTCATATTTCTTTTTAATAATTTTTAAAATATTCTGTCCAAATAAAGAGATACTTTTCTTCTTATTATAATAATTGAATATTCTATTTGTGGATTTTCTGTTGTTATTGTTATATTTTCAATCAATAACAGATTTATTTATGTTTTTGTTAATTATTATATTGAATTAAAAATCTATTAAGTGGTTACATAATAATTAGTTGCTTCAAATTTTATTTTATTTTATGTAGGCGGTAATGTAAATCCCGTGGCCGCCAGTTTCATATAGAAGGAAAAACAGGATTGGTTAATATTTCAAATTGCAGACTAAACCTACCACAGGATTGGTCAATTTCCTTCGATCTCTCGCGCACAAAAAAAAGAAAGGAAAAGGCGGGACCGAGTCGAGCCCATCAATGGGCAGCCTCGGTTATTCGTCCGTAGTAAAAATGACGTTTTGTCTTCATTGACGAGGGACGGACCAATTACGTAGCTATTCCTGGAAGAGGCGTGGACTTCTGACATTCTTTAGTAGCCGGTCCTTCCTTACCGGCATTCAGTCCCAGACTGGGAAGACGCAACGTTGTGATATTTATTTATTTATTGAAGTTTTAATTTATCCGCAGCCAAAGATGCTCGGCCTGTGCCTTTACGTCCCCGTGTCTAACTCGGACCCGATTGAAGTGGAATATTTCGAGTCTAACGGACTTCCATCTGAGTTGAAGTCTCTTTTTAACAAACTCAGCGTGTTCCTGCCGTCCCAAGAGTTTTCAGCCTACCAACGATGGCGAAAGGTAGGAAATAAATAAGTTAACTAACACAATCAGAATAACCTAGTTCTTAACATTGATTAGTCTGAGCGCCACAAATCTTTTCACTCCGGCGACCGGAAAGATTAGCGCGCTGTAGTAAAAGCCTTACGACTAGGCCGCAAAAAAGACCGGTTTCGAGAAAATTCATGAGAAGATTCCGGGCATTTTTGCTGCAACTTTAACGTAACATCTGTATTTAACCTAAATGACACTGACAAGTAATCAATATTTGTTGATTTAAGCCTGTTACTGCAAACTTTAAAACTTAACCGAGCCGGTTCGGATTGAAAAAGACTGCCATTCATTTTACATGGGGAAAATCCACCCTAAAAAGGAATTCCGGCCATGCGCTTACACTGAAAGAGGGCAGCTGGAAGCCGGTATCATTCGCTATATGTAACTGCGAAAAAGTAAATCGTGTGCATAAGTACAAAAGTTGTTTAATTAGCTGTTCCCGTTTCTAGGTCAGCTACAGCATGCGTTTCTCCCTGATGTCCTTGAGGTCTTTTACTACTCTGAAACTGAGGGTTTTGGGGGCAGGCAGATCCCATTTAGCTATGACTCGTGGTGCACCTAGGAATGCTGACCCACCACTGACTTTTCATGTTTTAATTTCACAATTTCATAACAATGTGATTGTTTTAAATGCATCTGTCAGCACAAATTAAATTATTGGGAAGAAAAGGTTTAGAAACCACTCTAAAAAAAATTCTGTGTCATTATTTCAAGTTTTAAAAGGTGCCCAGTGTCTTATCCAGTACATTTTATCTATGGGCCTCTTTGGGGGGTTAAGAGGCTGGGGCTCATTAGGATTTGCTCATACTTGTGTTTTTAAACGTGTTTTAATCGAGGTTATGCAAAGACTTAAAGTCTGCAGCAGTTTGTCTTTGGCATCTCAGGCTTCGTGAACTGTCACAAAATGGCCCTTTTAGCTGTGCTTTAAGTCACTCTGATGCACTCCTGCAGGGAGTAGGGTGCAAGCTGCAAATATCTGCAGATGGGGTATCGGTTTGGTCATATGCCTACATGCGGTCTGGGCAGCAGGTCAGGCGGTATCAGTCAATGATAGCAGTATATCCCGGTCTTATTTTAGCCCTGCAGGTTTCAACCTAGACATGGATTAAAGCGGTTGGCTGGGTCAGCCTGCAGTTGAGGGTGAAGATGGACAAGGGTGTTATTACCTAATACCCTAATAGGCCCAGGAGAAATAGATGTCATTCAAGAAAGCAAAGAGGCTTGTGGCCTGGCAAATGGGTCATAGCTGCCCTTTGGGGTAATAAAAATCAAGCTGAGGGGACACCTTTAATGCGCCAGTGGGTCTCCAGGGCTGGTTTATGGTCACTTGGCTAATCATTTGGGAGGCATCAGTTACAGGGTACATTTTGAACTTGCTGTACTTGTTTCATAAGACATTGTTAAACTATAAGGGGAGATGATTACTGCATACCATTGCTAAATGTGACCTTCTACTCTTCCATGAAGCTGACTCACTGGATTGGTACAGTAAATCAGATTATTCAAATTCTGCCATCTTGTCTGACTCTGGTTTTATTTCTTCTTCACAGAAAACATTAAAAAGGGAAGAAAACAACTCGGATGGACAGCTGGACTTTGAGGAGTTTGTTCACTATCTACAAGACTACGAGAAAGACCTGAAGCTTGTGGTGAAGAGTCTCGACAGGAAGAATGCAGGTACGTGGCAGGAGATCGGGTCATGCTTTTTGTTTCACACGAAACTCCTCGAGTGGTTTCGAATTTCACTTTGTGTCATTTCCGCAGCTTTAAGTGTGAAGGACGCATTTTCTCACAGTGTGTCTTTGCTTCCTTTTAAAGGTCGCGTTGACCCTAAAGAGTTCATGCAGTCTCTCCGTGACCTTGGTGTGCATATTTCTCTGCAACATGCGGAGAAAGTCCTTAAGAGGTAAAAAAAAATCTATATATTTTTTTTAATCTTTGGGATTTTAGATTTAGATTTTTTATTTTTTTTAAGGGAACAATGTCTCATTTTATACATTTATTTATTTTAAAGCATGGATAAGAACGGCATGATAACAATCAGCAGTAAAGACTGGAGCAAGTATGCCATGGTGGAGAAGACGGAGAACATCCCTGAGATCATCCTTTACTGGAAACACTCCACGGTTAGTACTTTACACTGAAACCAAAAGTTTTGCCCAAAAAAGGGAACAAATCTGCTGCTTTGACTTTCAGAGCCTAAAACTAGAGACAAATCATTAATGTGCGAAAATTAACTTTATGAAAGAGAAGTAGAAAATTCTGCTCTTGCATAACGTTTCACATGTCCTACTTTTAGCTGTTCTTGGTTGATAACTTTATCATCGTATGCGATAACAATAACATGCCAAAGGCAAAAGTTCTTACACCCTCCTGTTGAGTGGGTCAATTAAAGAGCAAATTCCCAGAAAGGCCATGAGCACAAACCATGCGTCAGCAATTAAGCTCTTAGGCCATGAAAGGAATTGGGCTCTTTCCTGCAGGATTATGTTGGAAGGATTTGTCTCGGTGCTGTTATGTAAAGGAGAGCAGCAGCAGCGGTCGGAGCAGGTGCAGGCTGGAGATGTAATATAGCGCAGCTCCCGGAGTAACACATTCTGATCTCAGGGGGGGAACAAGTTATTTTAGAGCTAATGAGACCAGCAGACTCGCCTGGTGGCACAACCTGCCTCAAGCTGAGCAGAGATGTAAAGTGCTGGATCATTTCAGACTGCAGAAAGTCAGGTCAGATGTCAACCTGCACAGTTACGTCTGTTGAGGATTTAAGTTTTATCTCCATAAGAGTCCCAGAGAGAGAATAAAAAGGCAAAATGCTTGAGGTTTCTTTTAAAGAGGGGGGAAAGCTAGAGGTTTGAAACAGATCCCTGACCTATATTCTCAACATGTCTCCCTTTGAAAACAATCCCCATGCTCTGACCTTTGCTGTGCTGGTTGGGGGATGCTTACACATTTAACCTGCAGTCACACATGAGCTCACTATCATGTGGCCCACATGAGAGAAATGTTCAGATATTAACACGAAGGATTTTCACCACATGTTGGTTAAGAATAGAAGCTCTAATCTACAGCTGAGGACAAATGAATGACACAAAATGGGTCCTGTTCCAAAATGTTTAAGAGTGGTCCATGTGAAACTAACCTCCACTCTGTCCTTTGTAATCTCTTCATGTATGTTTCCATAATGAGAGTCATTTCTGTTAGTTGCCGAGACAAAATGACTAAAACCTCTACCAGGGTTTTTTTGCTCTCTATATCTGACCATTCCTGTCATCTTCTGATCAGATATTCGATGTTGGAGAGAATCTCATGGTCCCCGATGACTTCACCATTGAGGAGAAGCAGACTGGGATGTGGTGGAGACATCTGGTCGCAGGTGGAGGAGCAGGAGCGGTTTCGAGGACCTGCACTGCCCCCCTGGATCGACTCAAAGTCATGATGCAGGTAAGATGATCGATTTGGACCTCTTAAAACACTTTAAGCAGCTGTTGATCAAGTGCAGGCACGTGATGGGCCTGTGAAGAGGAAGTTGTGTAAATTTGAAAACTTGTGGGTCTTATGACTAAAGCTGTCGGGCATTTCAAGTGTCTGCTGATGCATGAAATAATGTTAAACGTTACTGAGATTTTAGCTCTGAGTATTTGTGGCCATTTTGTTTTGAAATTGCTCAAGCGCCCGTTACCTAACGCTCATAAGCAAGTTAACGTTTAACAGTGTGTAACGGCAAGGGGCCAGAGTCCAGGCAATGACCAATGACTGCTCTCAAACCGCTATCACACCCTTGGCTTCATAGTACTCGCTGTCCTCCAAGCTCAAACGACGCATACTCGAAATGTGTGTCATCATCCCCATCGTGTGCGTCAGGAGACTTTGTCCTATTGATTAGATATTCACCCAGTTGGCTTAGATTTGGTTGAAAACATGATGACCCACATGGCACCATCCCCAAGTCATCCCATAATTAAAGAAGTTTATGTGGTAGTTTAATCAAATACAATATTCTTCCTCCTTCAGGTTTACGGATCCCGAACCAACAACATGTGCATAATGAGCGGACTCATGCAGATGATCAAAGAAGGTGGTACGAGGTCCTTGTGGCGAGGAAATGGCGTGAATATCCTCAAAATTGCCCCCGAGTCGGCCCTCAAGTTCATGGCTTACGAGCAGGTATGACGGGTTTAACAAGGGACTGGTTTAATGAACGAGGCACAGTGTTCTTGATGTCATTTGCTAATCTGTTCTTTCTCAACTTGCTTCTCCAGATTAAGCGTTTAATCGGCAGTGATAAGGAAGCTCTGAGCATCCTGGAGCGCTTTGTTGCAGGATCTTTGGCAGGAGTGATTGCCCAGAGCACAATCTACCCCATGGAGGTGATTATCTCTTTAATTAGATCTATCCTGTAGCGTTGTGATGCCTCTGTCGCGACTGTACAGTCAAACAAAGCTGACGTTATCTGTACTGAATCTGTTCCAGGTGCTTAAAACCCGTCTCGCTCTGAGGAAGACCGGCCAGTATGCTGGTATCTCTGACTGCGCCAAGCAGATCTTCAGAAGAGAAGGCCTCGGCGCGTTTTACAAAGGATACGTCCCCAACATGCTGGGCATCATGCCCTATGCAGGCATTGACCTCGCAGTGTACGAGGTGAGCGGTCACAAGCATACATTGTTTAGAAATCCCCAGAACTCCTACAAAATAAAATTCAAACTGAGACTGTAGATTGATCTTTTTGTTTTCTCTCCATAGACGCTAAAAAACACCTACCTCCAGCAGTACGGCACCAACAGCACAGACCCCGGTGTGTTCGTCCTGCTGGCCTGCGGCACAGTGTCCAGTACCTGCGGTCAGCTCGCCAGTTACCCCCTGGCTCTGGTCCGAACCCGCATGCAAGCACAAGGTGAGGCCTCAATACTGATTTGTTACTCCATCAGTAGCAGATGGTTTTATACATTTAGTAACTTAAAAATAACTGGATGTAACTGTATTTGAACACAAGTCTAAGCTTGTCTGTTTTTAACCCTTTCAGCTGCAGTAGATGGCGGCCAGCAGCAGGTGACCATGTCCGGGCTCTTCAGGCAGATCCTGCAGAACGAGGGGCCCACTGGGCTTTACAGAGGCCTGGCCCCCAACTTCCTTAAAGTCATCCCTGCCGTCAGCATCAGCTATGTTGTGTACGAGCACATGAAGACACAGCTGGGAGTGACCTCAAGATAAGGCTCCCTAGTCCCCCACCCCTCACCCTCCCAAGGCTCATGCTAGGAATCCCCCCGGGGGCTTTCAGGCCCCTCCAGAGGTTCGCGGAGCCATTTCATTCTGTGAATGTCAGCTGACGAAAGACTAGAAAGGACACGGCGAGGTGGAGGTTATGGACTCTGTGAGCTCAGGATGTCGTGACTGCTGCTATTACCTTTAAAGAGAAGCTGAACGGTGACTGTATGAGAAGCAGGACCAAATATTTTTGCTCTTCTCTTGAGTGAATCTTGGTGGATAAAGCATTAAAATGCACAGAGTGAAATGATTATGTCCCAGACGGGAAGATTTTTGCACACAGTTTGAATTTCTCTCCACCCCTGAATGAATGACTGAGTGACTGACTGACTGGAGTATTTATTACCACCCGTCCTGTATTTATTGTTTTATTTAGAAAGGGAAGTAAGGAATAAATCTTGAGCCAAAATGTGCAACTACATAAATCAGCCTTAATGTTGATAACTACGTGTAGTTGTCTGAAATGGTGTAAACGGGGGAAAAAAACTTTGCTGATGCAATCAGATCGTTGATGTGTTTAGTCGCCCTAATTCTTGTTTAATTGAATGTTACTTAATGTTCACCTCAGGTTAAAGAGCTGCTTTTTTTTTTTTTCTTTCTTCATTTTAAAGAAGAGCATGTGTATTTAGAAAGTGAAAAGACAGACGGCATAATGCACTTTAATTAATGCTAGTAAGCCTCTAAATGATGTTGTCAATGCCGATTTAGTGTTTTAATGGACCATTTTCGATGCAAATAAATGGAAATTATAAATCTGTGTCTCATTTCTCCTTTTTTGCACCAAAATTCACACACTGAAGCTCAAAAAGGCTGAGGGGTACACTTCAGCTCCAAACAGCAAACTCCTCCAGACTGAGAAGTTTGGTAATCTTACATATTTGTGGTGTTTGGAGGGTTTTCCTTATGCAGATCGAGTGATCGTGCATGTGATAATAAACAGAAGTGGAACCTCAGCAGACAGGCTTCTTAGTTTTAAACTGCACATGCCTGGGTGGTGCATCTAATATCCAAAAGTGGATCTTTTCATTGCTCCCAAAACAAGAATTGAGTGATTACTTGCTATATAAATGCACACAGTGGCTATGATCAGCAACATTTACAGAGTGAAGTGACCCTGAAGTGTCTGGCAGATGTGATAACTGCATGGCTCCAGACAACTAGTCCAAACAAATACCTCCTACCTCCCTTTTCCCACTTTTCCTTGAACTCCTTTGTCAGTTTTTCTTGGGAAGGTTTGTGAAAGTATCTGGAATCACAAGCTTTCTTTTTCACAAACAGTTCAGTGTATCCTCTGATAAAGTAGGTCCTATAGGAAACACTGAAGCTCTTTTCTTTTTAGAGATTTTAACTAGCTCTGATTGTGGCTGCAGATTCTTCAGGGTCACTTCACACCTGGGAACCTTCCTGGAGGATTTGATGTTATGAGATTATTTCAGAAAAACTTCCTGTTTTGAAGAAGAGCTTTGTAATTCCTTTCTTTTATTGCTTTTATTTTCAGTGTCCAGGGTGCGAGGGGTCCTTGCTGATGTTACTGGCTTTCTGTTGAAGTCTGCCAGTATAAATGTCTCTGAGGGGGATTAGTGAAGTGTCAGTTCCACTCTGCCGCCCTCACTGCCCACTACAGTTTTCTCTTGTCCTCCACAGTACAGCTGTGGGTCAGAAGGCTCTCGATGGTGGAGCGGTAGAAGTTAATTAGCAGTTTTTGTGGTAACTGGGCCTGTCGCAAGTTCCTGAGAAAGTATAATGTAATTATGTGCAGTGCTGTGCAAAAGTCTTGAGCCACTTCTAATGTCTTTATATTTTAAGTGGTGTGTTTCTATCCAGGCATGCTTTTACTGCACTGACAGTGTTTTAGGGATCATTGTCATGGTGAAAATCTGATGCTTTTCCTGCCCAGTTTCTCATCTCAAACTTCACAGCTGCTGTAGAGATATTTAGGCTGGTCAGTTTTTCCTTTTTCTTCATTTGTTGAGTTTCCCCAGTTTTTTAAGGACATGCTCCACACCATACTGAGAGGTGCCAAATTTTCAGGTGATTCTCTTTGGGAATCATCTTATTGGTGCAAAATCATTATGTCATGTCTGTCGTTGTATTAGGTTTGGTATTTTTAATAGTCAACTAAAGAAATGGGAACACATTATGTGTTTTGTGGGAGGCTGCTAGTAACAAAGTGAATAAAGATTCTTTAGTTGTGTGTCATGTGTGGACACAACACTGATTTAAGTTAGGTGCTTTTCTTGTGCATGAATGATTCATAGGTCAATAGTCATGATTTCCCTGAATATGGTCAGTTACGAGTACTGGACTGTAAATGAGAGAAAAAGCAGGGCATTCAAGAAGCTTGGAAAACTATTACTCAAGGGCACCTAAAAAAATAGAAGAAAGTCTGGCTCCTTGGAAGTAAAACATGAACAGAGTAATACACACACCTGCATGGACTACACTCATTTGAATGTTTATACCAGTATTTATGTTATCTTGTAAGTGTTCTGGTCTGTATCAGGTTTTGTCCTGTTCTCTGTCCTATCATATGTTTCCAAAACAAAAAGAAAGAAAAAAGAAAAGAAGGATTGGCACCCTGTGCACACTGGAACAAAATTAAAATACTGTATATTATTTTCTTATCCTGCATGTGACAAATTATTATTGTTTGCAAACAAAAACTCTTGGAAGCTGCAAATGTTAAGTTAAAATCTTGAAAAGAGACATTTTGTCATAGTGAATACTTTCGGTTTTGATTACTTAACATAGGACATTTTTCTTTAACCTTGTGGCATTTTTATTTTTAAGTAAAGCACCTACTTACATCCACCACTGGGAAAAAAACACCAAACCAAAAAAACACCAATAATTATATTATTAATATTAATATAAATTTGTTGACTTGTTCATTTAATGGCGCTCTCAGCAAGATGATTTGTGGCTTACATAACATTTTGATTATATGTCAGATTGTTTTACAACAACATCTTCAATAAGTGCTGTATAATAAAAAATACCTAAAATTTATAAAAATGATATTGATTTAACCTCCCACTAAGTCTTGCATATTTGTAAGTAAGTGAGTGTCACATTAACACATTAACCCTGTGACAGCAAGGTTTTACTGTTCTTGACACTTCCTGTGCAGTTTCCGATAATCAGCTGCTTCCCAGAAGCTTCAGACAGTTTCTAGAAGTTTCTCGGTGGCAGCCAAAGATAAAGAGCAGGCTAAACTCTCTGCGCTCACTTAATTACAGAAATGGATTAGCCATTACCCGCTAAACTACCTGTGAGTTAATGAAACAGATGCTCGTGTCAACCTTTTTTACACACAAAAAGGGAGAAAAAAGTGACGTCACTGTTTTCTAAGAATTTTTATTGACGGGAAAAACGATTTTTAAACTCGAAATTAATCTTTTGAAAATAAACGGTGCTTTAATGTAACATTAGCCGACGTATTTTACTATTGCGAAAACCTTCTTCTGCGCATGGTCAGTTCGAACGGTTTGACCTATACAGGCCGCCGTAGGGAAACAAGGAAGTAGACAGAATGAACAACATAAAAACAGAAGTCGGTTGTTTTATTTTTGATTGAATGCGTATTTACGCCTGTAATCGACTCCAGATTGTTTTCTACGTTTCTACATTTGCTTTGTAGTATATTTAAAAGCTTCTCGGTCTTTATTTAATATATATGTGTTTATTTCGGTAATGCTAACCTTCTTAACTGGCTCGTTAGCAGCGGTGACAGGTGACAGGTGCTGTTATTAATATGGTGCAGAACGTGTTTCGGAGCGGCTTTCTGGTCCGGGTCGCTCACACACTGCTCACCTGGATCATAACCGTCATTCTGTTCCTGCACAACACTAGTAAGTCACTCAGACTGCGACCAGCTAGCTTTTAGCCGTTAGCAACAGGATGGAGCTGAATGGTAGTTGGGCTCCAATTATAAGGATTTTTTATTTTACTTGAGCATTTTCGAGTATCTTTATTATTTATATTACCTACATTTATGAGGGAAATTATGTAGTTGTTACCACCTGACATGTATCTGTCAGTTGCTGTTACAAGTTACTCCACAAATTAGAATATTTTTATTTAAAAACACAAGAAATGAGCCTAAATAAAAATAGAAACATAAACCTCCAATAAATATATATTTTTAAATAACAAACATACACTAGGACAAACATCTTCTGGGTTAAAAATGGTCCTATCATAATTAGATATTTTTAAATTAAATATTTCAATGCAACGCCTTTCCAGACTGAATAATTTGTCATATATATTCAAATAATAAAATTTTAAATTAAAAAAAAAATCCAATATCTGATGTACAGTGGTCTTAATATACTCATATGAACCCATATAATAAGATGGTTTTTTAAAGTTATATACAAGTATAGTTATAATGAAGAAAAAAGTAATTTCCCATTTGTTTTAACAACTTGTGACTTTACAGTCTCAACGAATATGAAGATTTTTTTGTTTGTTTTGTTTTTTTGTCTCTTGTACATTTTCAATATCAAGATTAAAATAAAGTATATTATCCCTGAGGGGTAGTGTGCTTTATAGTCAGCAGCATAGATAACACATACACCCTGAAACCCCAACAAATCACATAATTAAAAATTAATAGTGGTAGGAACAAGTGAGAATTTAAATCCATTCGTTCTGCAACAAGTCAAAGAATACCTCCGCTCTGAAGGCAACAGCTGATACTATGAAAACAGTGGATGTATGCTATAACCCCAAGTCCTTTCCACTGTTAGGGTTGCCCTCCCTCTACACAGGAGGGCAAGATTATTTAGCTGCCACATTTCTACATAAATCTTGGAGAATATCTTACTTTTTGTTAGCTCTTACGTGTGTGTGTGTGTGTGTGTGTGTAGGCTTGCGGAGATGTGAGGAGCAGGGAGAGCTGCTGCTGCCGGCTCTCTTCTTCTTGCTGGTCGTTCTGTCAGTGCTGTTGTACTTTGCCGTTTCCCTGATGGACCCCGGCTTTGTGCTCAATGACACTGTCAAGGTGAGTTTAATTAAAAAGACTTGGATTACAAATTCAAAGTAGATCCTAATTTGAGGGCTGGCTGTGGCTCAGCAGGCAGCTCAGAAGGTTCAGTCCCTGGCTGCTCCAGTCTGCATGCCAAAGTATCCTTGGACAAGATACTGGACCCTGAGTTTCTCCTGATGCGTTTATCAGAGTCGGTGAGAACATTAGATAGAATGGATGAATGAGACATGTTGTGTAAAGCTCTTTGAATGCTCAAATAGAGTTGAAAAGCACTATACAAGAAGCAGTTAATTTACCTTCTTTAAGGATTAAAACACTTTGTGAAAGGTTGGTTTCATAATGTGTTGTAATAGTGGTGACCGCTAAGGCTACGTTCACTCTGCAGGTCTTAATGCTCAATTCCGATTTTTTGATCAAATCCGATTTTTTTTTGTCTGCTCGTTCACACTACAAATAAAATGTGACAGCAAACGTGCTCTAGTGTGAACGCTCAAAGCGGCCGCATGCGCAAAAGAAGACGTCACACACAACGCGCTCTGTTTAGACCCAGAGCAACAGTATTGTTTGACTGATGGCCCTTAATATAAAGACTTCGGACTTCACGTTTCCCAATTTTTGCTTTAAGTTATTTTGTTATTTACATAATAATGTAAATAAACTCATAATGATCCTTATTGCTGTTTTAGAGGAGCGCTGCTTCAAAGGATAGTTGCAGATTTCTGTCAGAATCTGCAGATTATGCAGTACAAATAAAATGTTAACGTTTCTCCAACGTTGTCTTCCCAGCAGTTTCACCTGATGGACAGGAAGCGTTCGCGATGTCTTCTCCGGCGCTGATAATCGGCGTCTGTCTTGTGTCAGTGACGTAAAAGACGGATTTAATGCGACTTGACCATTCACACAACAGTCGCTTTCTGAAACATCGGATATGTATTGGATTCAGGACCACATACGAAAGTGACCCAGGTCGGATTTGAAAATATCGTATTTGTGCCGTTCACACTGTCATAGCATGATCGGATATGGGTCGCATAGGGTCAAAAAAATCGTATTTGATGCGCTTTCGCCTGCAGTGTGAACGTAGCCTAAACTGCCTCCATGTTAAAAGCGAAACCTTTCCTCTGCTGTGGAGAGGTCAGCAGTGATGTGATGTTTTCTTATCAGCAAGTGGACTAAAACTTTTACTAACCTGTGATTAATGCTGAAAGGTCGCAGTGTTTCTGTGTGCGTGTGAACACTTGTGACTGACGTCTGTTTGTGTTACACAGGGCGCTCAGAGTCCGAATGAAGAAATGGAGGCGATGATCCCTCAGTCATCGACCCCTCGTTTGAGGCGCTGTGGATACTGCCTGCTGCAGGTAACCAGCTGCTGCCAGCTGCTGCCAGCTGCCAAATTCCAGTGCTCACCAAGTTTGACATGACTGCATTTCCAACTCATCAAATTCTGTGTGTTGGGTTTAAATGGTGTCTTTCTGCATCATGTGTCAGGAGAAGCAGCTGTTATTAAAATGGTGCCAAAGACACAAACATCCTCCTCCTGAAAGAAACTTGGCTTTCAAAATAGTGTGAATTTGAGGCTACATCCACACGTACTTGAGGATTTCTTAAAAACTAGAACGAGATCGCGGATACAAGCGGCGGAAATGAGCTTCCTCCGAAGGGTGGCTGGCATCTCCCTTAGAGATAGGGTGAGAAGTTCGGCCATCCGGGAGGGGCTCAGAGTAGAGCCGCTGCTGCTCCACATCGAAAGGAGCCAGCTGAGGTGGTTTGGGCATCTGACAAGGATGCCCCCTGGGCGCCTCCTGGGTGAGGTGTTCCAGGCATGTCCCACCGGGAGGAGGCCCCGGGGCAGACCCAGGACACGCTGGAGAGATTATATCTCTCGGCTGGCCTGGGAACGCCTTGGTGTTCCCCCGGATGAGCTGGAGGAGGTGGCTGGGGCGAGGGAGGTCTGGGCCTCTTTGCTTAGGCTGCTGCCCCCGCGACCCGGCCCCGGATAAAGCGGATGAAGATGGATGGATGGATGGATGGATAGAATTTTCCTCTTTTGTTTATAAGACATAAGTCAACAGCAACACTGTTTTGCATCACAAGTCACAAGAAAACCCTCAAAAACAAAACCGAGGCCATGAGCTGTCAAAAGTGCCACAGCAACAGGTGGTAACATAACTCTAACCATACAGGAATGTTGACCAATCAGAAGCCTAGGTGTATCACTAACAAACAATAAGACAGCACACAGTCTCATCTCACAAAAAAGGTGACACTGCAAAACAAAGTCTTAATTTTCCCTGAGACAAAAAGCCAATGAAAAGCTCAGTGTTCAGCAGCCTAATACCACCACTTACATGACCTGTGTGTGTGGACAGGACGTCAGGCTGACTGTTGGTTGGACTGTGTGAAAGTATTTGATGGGACGATGGAAGCTACATGGTAGCTGAGCTTACTGGAAAGCGAAAAGTAAATAAAAAGAAGTATCTGTTGGAATAGAGGCCATTTCTGTGGCTTTGGCTCTGCTTTTAATACGCCTTTGTGCACCAGAAATCTGCCCAAGTATGGTCACTCGTGGCTTCAGATGGTGGTAGAAACACGCCGAGGTCTTAAAACGTGAAATCAAATGGGTAATGTCACCGCAGCTTTGTCCAGCTTTTATTTGTTGGAACACCTGTTAATCAAAGCGTCCACACCTCTGAGTTTAAGTTATATAAAAAAACCTAATAAAAAACATTATCTACAAAGGTTAAAACTGTTGTTTTCACCAGGCTGTAAACATGTTTTGCTGTGAAGTTCAGACTTTGCACCTGCCAGTCAATATTCAGGCCAAGAAGAGCTGCAGACTCACCTTTGTCATTGTTTAAAGATTTATGATGTCCAGTCATTTTCTTTGGTTAACAACCAAACTGCGTTTTTTAAATTTGCTACATTAAGTGTCATTTAATTTTTTCTTCTATAATTAAATAAGCCCTGCAAACTGGCTCACAGACACTGTCAGAGTTTGCAAAGACTCAGTTGTAGGCCAAATTCACCCAGTGCATTGGTTCATTCAAGTATGGAAGCTTGTTTCCACCATAAAAGAGAAAAAAAAAGTTTTGCCAGACAAAGCTCAGTCAAAACTTTTTGTACTGTATTTTTTCAGTGGCAGAAATTTTTTTAGTGGGACACCTGCGTTCCTGTGTATGTAACCTTTATCTGCAGTCTTTTCCTCTGTGTTGATCTCAGCCACACCCATGTATCTTATCCTTATTTCCTTATCAGGGACTTTTACAGCCCAACAAATGTTCTTACGGCCCTGAGGCGTTGTCTGCGAGTCTGTTTGCAGCACTGATTTAATTGCAGAAACAGCTGCAGATTGATTTTCTTTTAATCAACTAATTAGTGCAGCTGTAGAAGGATTTAACTTTCTCTTTTGGTCGCATTACACAAAAGAAACCATCTAAAAAACCTGGAGAGCGAT